GACTGGATTCAGTGGAGCCAAAAATGAAGTATAATACTAACTAGCCATTCAGCAAGGCAGACGTTCTCAGCTGAAAGGGAAGTGCCCCTCCCTCCCGCTCAGGGTCTCACGTTTCCCGTTCCTCGCCATGAGCACACAGGTTTAGATATCCTTACCAAATGCCACGTGGACCGAGGAACGAGGGGCCGCCGGCAGCCCCGACAAGATAAGCGCCAGGAGCGCGGGCCTCGGCGGGGACAGGCAGGCCGCTCCGGTGCCGGCGGAGACGGCGGAAATGGCTCAGGGCTCACAGGCGGTTCAATCCACGGTCCTCTCTAGGCGAAGCGTTTTCCGAATGTGAGACCCTAACCAGGAGGGAGGGGCACCACCACCTTTAACGACGGAAATGTGAACGCCGCTACTTGATACAACACGTGTAACGCCACTCCCCACCCCCCCGAAATTCAGCCTCTGATCCATTTTACTCTGATCACTCTCCGGACACAGCGGGCCTCAGAACAGAGCCTGAAAGGGCGTCCAGGAGAACCGGAGCAGAGGAGGGAGGCCCGAGTCCCTCCCGCTGCGGGCCTGGCGCTGAGCCGCCCGCCGCCAGCGCCTCGCACCGCTCCGCCACCCCTCGAACCCCGGCGGCCCCCGCCCTGGCACCGCAGACCACACCTGCCCAGCCGGCGCAGGCCCCCTACGGGCACGGAGAGGCGCCCGTCCCATCCGCCCCCAACTTCCCGTCTCCTGACCGTTGGAGCTCAGAGGCCAGGCTGAGCCAACACAGCCTGCACCCCGTCCGACCCCATGGTGCCTCCTCCCCGTCCCGGCCCTCCCCCTCCCCCCGGCGGGCTACGCAAGGCCCTCTGGGCGCGCTCAGACCTGGCATGGCGCCTGCCTGGCCTTTTCCGCAATGGCTCCTCCTTCACCCTTCACCTTCCGTCAGCCCCCCTCCCCCCAACCCCCGCCCGTGGGCCCAGCTCAACCTGCGGCTCTCGGAGGCGTCTGTGTGGAGTCTGGACCCAACGGCTGCCGAGCGTCAGAGCGTCGTGTCTCAGGGCCTGAGGCGGCCAGCGGAAGGCGGGAAGCGCCTGTCCAATCAGCGCTATGTGTGGTCCACACCGTGTCCAATCAGCGCTACCGCCCAGCAAGGTCCCGCCCCTCGTAACCGTTGCACGTGCCGGCTGCAGGAGGCCGCGGTGGGCGTGGTTCTGCGCCTCAAGTAAGTGGACTGCAGCGACCGACCCAAGCCTGACCCCAACCCCGACCCTTGACCCCTCCCGGGCTCCGTCCTTGCCGGAAGGCTGCCCCTCAAGGATGCGCAGCTAGAAGAGGCATCAGCTTCTCTTCCGCTTCTCTCCGGTCTGTCTCTTCCTTCCTCTCGCGGGTGCGGACGCCTGTGAGGGCCCCTCCAACCCCACAACCACCCCGGAGGGGGGGCTAGACAGGGCCCCAGAGACCAGGGGCACCAGCCGAACCTGCCAGGATGCACAGGTTACCCGCCCTCTGCGGAGTCCCCCGCTGCGGGCCGGCAGAGGGCGGCAGAGCCACACGGGCCAAGTCCCCGGGGACCTCAAGGCCTCCCCACCGCGCCCTGGCCCAGGGCCCAGGCTTCCGGAGTCAGTCTTGGCCCCACCCCCGATGACCACGCCCCCTCTTCCCGCCGGCCCCTCCCCGCAGGCTGCCGAGCCCCCCTCCTGTCTGCGGGAGGGTTTCCTGCCTGGGTTTCCTAGAAGCAGGAGTGGCTGCCTCCTTCCTTAGGCAGAACCCAAGTCCCCTCTGCCAGAGGGCCTATGGGAATTAGGCTTAGCCCCTCTGTGCGCGATACCGATTGAGCAGGAGCATCAGTATATTCCAGGCTTTTTACAAGGTTTCCACTTAAAGTATCCGTTTAAAAGATAAAAGCAATCATGCTTGTGTAAAATACACAAGCCATGCAGAAATGGATATAGCAGACACTTCAAAAATTTTAAGTAGTGATTTCTCAATTTGCCACTTTGTAGCGGAGGAGAAAAGTTAGAGTCCTTTTGTTTCACTTGTACAAAAGCATAAGAATTGTGTAGTAAACAGTATACTGCCACAAGGAAGAAAAAAGTCACTCTTTTTAACCTTATTCGAATTGTTGTTAAATAGGTTTTTAGATCATAGTTGTTAGATGAAAAATCTTTTCTATCAATCATATCGAAATTGGGTTCTGGGGTAGGTTTGAATACTGACTTTGCTATTTACCAGCGGTGGGATGTTAGGTACAGTCCACTGTCTTCAACTAAAAAAAAAAAAGGGGGGGGATATAATCTACCAGATAGTGTAATTTTTAGAATTAAATCAAATACAGCACCTAGCACTGTGGGCAGGCAAATAAGAGAGGACACAGTGAATGTTAGTTTCCATCCCCTGTGTGCAAGGCACAATCCGGGGGGAGTCAGACACACAAGAGTACAATACTGGCTCATCCCCTGCAATCCCCTAGCAGTGGTCGGCAAACTGCGGCTTGAGAGCCATGGTTTGCCGTTCTGTTGACTAATGAGTTTGTTGACCACTGTCCTAAAGCTTTCTTCGTATGTGACCTAGCACAAAATATTGCATTTCAGTTTCTCAAAGACATGCACAACTGTGCTATGGAAACTGAGGTACTAACGTACAATAAAACAAAAACAAAAACAGTTTTTTGGGCAAGGTACTAAGATCGACTATTTAGGTAAGAATAAGACTTAACCATGAAATTATTTAAACAAGAAGTTTCTAACATGTTTCTCTAATGAGACTACAAATAAAACACGTTCCAGCTAACAATTTGTGCACATACAATTTAATTTTAGGTCTGAGTGAAATAGCTTCAAAGTTTAAACATTAAAATATATTGTTTTTACTGATGATGCCCAGGTCCGCTGATGCCCTGGTCCGAGCAGGTGACCAGCTCCAGGCACACGAGCTGCCACCCCAGACAACCCAACAATTGCACAACCCACTACAAAATGTTAACATTTAAGCAATATAACTGTTTTAGAGTCTGAAAGTTCTCCTTAAGCTGAACTTTATCAACTAGGCAAGTATATTTAATTTTTTAAAGGCACTCTGAGGTTCTTTTAATACTGAAGATATAATATTTACTTTATACTCCATGACTAGAACCTTTTGCCAAGTAATTTTACATTGATTATAAGATTGTCTACATGCCTTTATACAATATATTTGGCAGCTCTAACCTTCGTAAATGAATACTCTGGATAATTTCTTGCAATCTAGGTTGGGGTCAAGGACATAGCAGCCAGAGTCCTCACAGGCGTACCGACCTAATTGGACAGTTTGTTAAACAGGAAATGCAACCAGGCTTCTCTCTCTCTTGCAAGTCAATGGAGTGAACAACGCTAACAGCCAAAGCTTGTTCAATTTAATCACGATATTTTAAATCAAAGTTCAGTCTTCTTAAATCAGAAAGTACTCCCTCTAGATCAGAAAGCCTTTTTTCTCTCTTGGAATTTTAAAAACACAAAAGTTGCCATTGTAAAAACCAAATTGGTTAAAAGGCAAAACTCACCCTTTACATACTAATTTAACAAATGTTAACAAGCATTTAAAATTCAGTTAGTTAATTGGTGACAGCTGTCACAATTTACCTCAGAGATTTCAACTGTGTCATAATTAAACTTCACAAGTCGGAGGCCTTGTCCACTCTGGCTGGATTTTCACACTTGAGAGCTAGCACCTGTTGTCAGAAAAACCATCACTCAGCACCAAAAGCAATCACCAGCCCCTTGCTGGAGTTTTAAGTCATTGTGGCACTCTGCAGGGGACAATGGCCTTGACTTCTTGGTTGGAGATATTAAAAAGAAAGAAAGAAAGAAAAGCATTTAATATTTTAAAACTGGGAAACAAGTCCCGACAATGTTAGAAACTCTCTGATCTGAAGGCACAAAGAATTAAGTTGGCAGGCAGCTGATAAAATGAGGTACGTATAAATACAATTTAAAATAAAACCTAGGCATATACTGTAAGTACAATTTAAAACATTTAAGAAGTATAAATATTTGTGAATTATTTTTCCTCTAGTGCTCTGGCTATTGCTGAACAAACTTTCTAATTCCACTTGGCATCCTGGCTTCTGAAAGATGAGTGCTGGGATCTCCTGATGCTTAAGAAGACAGAATCATCTTGATCATCAGAAAGGTATTTGAAAAGGGCATGTGTCTGAAATTGTTAATAACTTAAGGCAGAGTTTCTTATCCTGTTTAGGTAGTTCCAACCCTAAACAGAATTGCCTGATAACATGCGATACCTAATTATCAAGTAGGTGCAAGAGAAGTGTGAGGCGTGAGAAGACACGGGGGCTGTTCTAAGTATGTTCTCTTTCTCAGCTGGGATGTAGGCGACACAGCTTCCCCCGGGCAGCCTAAATTCCCAGGAATGGTGGTGATGACTGATGAGGCATACATCGCTTGCCTATAAATAGTTTTCCACGGTGAGAAGTCCACAAACATTGGCAAGCTCAGGTTTTCCTTGTTCCCAGGGCAGGAATGCCTCAAGGAACCATGATGGGGGTCACACTGGGGCACAAATACACAAACTGGTTTCTCTTTTAGCTTATTAAATCCAGAATGCTCCGGGAAAGGCATCCGCTAGGGATCAAGCTCCCAGCATCTCAATAGTAAGTAACACCTACGCGTACAGAGACCTAATCAGGGCACATGCAAAAGCAATCCGGCCTTCCTAGCCGGAGGATGCAGGCCTTTTCCAGAAACCCAGTCGGAACCCAACACCCCCTGCACCTACCCACCCGCACTGCCCCAGCTTGTTACACACTAGGCGTCTGGCCACCCGAGGCTCCATTTTACAGCTGACACAGACGTTTCAAGTAGGTGGCAGATGGCCACTGCCAGGGCCCCTCAGCAGGACGTGAGGTCAGGTTTAGGTGTGGGGACGGAGTGCAGGGAAGAGCAGCTGCCTCTGCCGTGAGCGCCCCGCTAGCAAGTGGCCGCAGGTGTGGCTACGGAGCAGCAGCGCCGGTCCGGGCCCGGGGCTCAGATGAAGTGGATCCAGCTCTCCTCACACTCCCCCCGGGGCATGTGCAGCTCGTGGTTGCGGCACGTGAGGCTGTAGTCGCGGCCATCGTTGTTATCCCAGTGCTCGGCGCCGGCCACGCGGTAGCGCACGGCGAAGTGCACGCGGGAGCCCCGCGCCAGCAGGAAGGGCGGCACCGGGAAGCCAAAGGTGAAGACATCCTCGGTGCCCTCCGAGCCCGCGGGGCCCCGCCACCGGGCCGCGGCCTCGTGCGCGCTGCGCCAGTCGGAGAAGGTGTAGCGCACCGCCACCTGCTTCTCGAAGGCCACGTTGCACACGCGCACCGAGCCGCTGACGCCCAGGTCCGAGCAGGTGATCCGCTCCAGGCACACGAGCTGCCGCCGCAGGCGCTCCCCGAAGTCGGCCGCCTCGATGGGCGGCGGGAAGTCCGGCACCAGACACTGCAGGGTGAACTCCAGGTCCTGGCGGCTGCAGCACAGGTCCGAGTTGATGTCGAGCCGCGACAGCACGTGCAGCGGCACCGAGGGGTCGTCGCCCGCGTTGAACACCTTGACCTGCGTCAGCTCCAGGCCCAGGGCGTCGGCGAAGCGCACGCGGTGCTGCCTGCAGTCCGGCCGGCACGCCGCGCCCGGGGCGCCCGCGGCCTTCTGGCGGCGCTCGGGGGAGCTGGGCAGCGAGTGCGCCCGCCGCGCGATGATGGGGCGCAGGCTGGGGTCGCAGCCTGAGCCTGCCTGTGCGGGTGGCGGCGGCCGCGCGCGCCCCGAGCTCCAGGGGGGCCGGCAAGGCCGCTGCTCCGGGGTCGCGCCGCCCACCAGGTCAGAGAGGCAGCTGAGGCTCCGCGGGGCGGACTTCCGGGACCCCAAGCCGCGGGGCAGGACCGCGGGATCCGGGCTTCTGGACATGGCCCAGCAGGCCCCCGGGGATGGGGATATGAATCAGAGGGGCAGCCTCCCGACCCCGCCTCCAATACCTCGGCGGCGTCCCCAGCCGTGCTCAGAAGGCCCCGGTGTCCGCTGGAACCGCGCCCCGAGGGAACCCTGGCCCCGCCGCGCCTCCCCTCCTCTGCCGCCGAGCCCCTCGAGTCCTCTCCCAGGTCTCCAGTTAGTTGCAGCGAAAACAGAGCTTGTTTCCCAAGAGACGAATGCTGTCTCCAGAGCAAGCTTTCCGGGGCCACCGGGGAGCGTGCGGCGGCTGTCTCCTGGAGGGTTCTTAGAGGAAGGCTGCATTGGTGGAGCGGCCCCTCCCACCTCCCCGGTCGCCACTTCACTTACATGGCTGCAACTGTCTGGGCGCAACTTCCCTGGAGCCTCCGCCCCGCCCCGCCCCGGCCCGGCCCTCGTGACGCCGCCCCCGCGCAGGCTCCCGCGGCCAGAGCGCAGCCCGGGAGCCGGGCCGGCCGCGCGCCCCCGCGGACGTGCCTCGCCGCACGGCTTGCCCGCTAGGGCGCTGGGAAGGAAGACTGGCGGCCTTGTCACGTGTCCTTGGCGATCCAGAAACAGGTCTGATCAATTTCTGTCTGCGTCTGCCAGGCCCGCGCGTCTATAGATCATAGATCCGAGTCTGCACAAACGGAAGACAAGGAAAGTGCATGCTGCGGGTCCTTGGGTTTATGGATTACTGGTGGCCGGGAGGGAGGGGTTGCAGGTGCTGGCCCCCAAGCTCATGTTAAGCCTCTAGGCGGGCCAGCTCTTTGTACATATGCTCTGCTGCCTGGACCCTCGGCTGGACCAAGGGAGCCTCGCTGTATAGATAAGCGTCTCATCCACACATCACCCACAATGCTTTGCTGCCCAGGACCGCCAGCCAATTTCTGGGGGGCGGGGCGGTCCTGCTGCTGTTCTCTCTAGGAGCCAAGCCCCCAGCCTAGAGGAAGATGTGGGGAAAGAGTTAACACCCCGTGATGAATTATGCAGCTATCCTTATTCGGAAGCATTTTTGCAGCCAAAATCTTGGACGTTTAGCTTTGTTCCAAGGCAAGCCTGAACCAACCCCGAGCTTTTTTCTGCATCCTCAGGGCCCTGTGGGTATGTTTCTCCTGAACTTCGTGCAAAAAAAGCAGAAGCCTGGAGCAGTTTGGGGCCAGGAATTCTAGAGGGTTCCTTTTTACTGCCCAGAGCAGAAAGAACACCAAGCTAATGCATCCTGTATATCTAAAATCAATCAAGCCTGTTGATTTTGGCATAACTCATTAATTGTGAGAACACAGATGGGATTTTTATTACCATCACGTGTAAACTGACCAAAAAGTTTTTTTGTGAAAAGTAACACAGCAAAGTTCCAGGAAGAAAATAAAGACCTTTTATAACCCACCTCCTTCCAGGTGGGCGGCTGTTATTAGAGTATTCACTTTCAAATCAGGGCACTTTAGGCCACTCAAAATAAGAGGCAATAGCAGCACTGTGTGGTCTGAGTCAACAGACTTTCACAAAGAAATAAGATGATGTGATATTGTATTAATAGACTGATAATCTTTTAATGGCTTGATGTGTTAGTGGGAATTGAAAGGGAGCTTCCTCAATAGAGCTTAAGCTCCATGGGAGTTGGGACATTGCCACAATCCTGTCATTTTCTAGGCACTTCTATCATTATTTGTGAATGAATGAATGATTGGATATGGGAGCTTTGGAGTGATACCTGACCTTAGCTTCACAGATTTCCTCAATGTGTTATTTTCAAAGAGACTGTGTGTGTGTGTGTGTGTGTGTGTGTGTGTGCGCGCGCGCGTTGTGAATCCATTTGCAGCATTTATAGCTGATGATCTTGTATCCAATATCCACTGTGAAAATAAGATAGAAAAAATTAAACTTTAAACATAAGGCAATCTCTCCCATCAATATTTTAATGCTGTACAAAGTTTTAAAAACAAGCTAGTGAAAACCAACCCAACTCTGGATACAGGACCATGTGCAATAAATACTGACTGTGCTGGCTTTGGCAGCATACATCCACAAGCGGACTGATGCAGAGAGGCTTAGCATATGCCCTGGGCAAGGATCATATGCAAATTTTGAAATTTATGAAGCGTTCCATATTTCTAGAAACAAACTTGTAGACACAGAGAACAAATTATAGTTGCCAGATGGGAAGGGAGTGGGGGCATGGGTGAAAAGGGGAAGAAATTAAGAAGTACAAGTTATAAAAGTGGTCCCAGAGATATAAAGTACAGCATAGGGAATATAGTCAAAAGTATCCTAATAACCATGTCTGATGTCAGATTGGTACTGGACTTTCTGGGCTGATCACTTGATTGATAAGTTATATAAATGTCTAATCACTATGTCATATGCCTGAAACTAATACAATATTGTATGTCAATGATAATTGAAAAATGATTTTAAAAAGTACTTATTGACTGATTTCTGTTGCTTATAGTTCCAGTGGTAAAGAGTCTTTTCAAAATATAAGAGGAATAAAGAAGTCACCTCCCCACCTTTCATCATCTAACAAATTGAGCAAGAATATTTCAAGCACAACAGAGAAGGTGATGTAACCGGTGGAGGATCTTACTTAGACTTGTTCTGGTTTTTGCTTGTTTCTTGTGTGTTTGTAATATTTATTACTGTCTGTCTGGTTTTTAGACAGCACGTGCAACCCTAGATGATGACCAGCTCTGTGATTTTTTCAAGAAAGGGAATAGGGTGAGTGAATCTCACCAGAAGAGCAGGTAAACAGTTTTCATATAACTGCTGTATTTTGTAAAATTGTGATATGTCGATTCCAGACTGACTGTGTGTGGCTGGGAAGGAAATAGTATGTCTGTGGATAAGAAACATGCACCTATATTTTTATCTAGCAGGAATGAATGGGCAAGTGGCTTTAAACATGACTAGGTGCATGTCCACCACCCATTTTTTCCCATTCTCTCCGCCCCCCTTATCTGATGTTGGTGCTGAGAAGTACCGTGTTTCCCTGAAAATAAGACATCTCCGAAAATAAGACCTAGCGCAACTTTGGGAGAAAAAATTAATATAAGACACTGTCTTATTTTCGGGGAAACAGGGTATCATTCTTAGTGAAATGCTATGTCCTTGGTAAGTAAGTTGAAAGGAAAATATTGTCAATGCAGATATGGGATCCTTCCTTAGAGTGAATTACCCTGGGAAGAATCGGGTGCTCTTCTTGCCAAGCACACTGTGTTCAGAAGTTCCCTCTACCCACCACGACCAGACAGTGCTAACCGTCTTTTCATTCTTATTGTATCTTAAGACACCATGCAACTCCATCCTTTTAAATACAGAATTCCTGTTTCCTGTTCAAATGCTAATGAGCCTTTGGTTAAAGGTACAGGTTGTATATGCTACACTTCTTCATATTAAGACTAGGGGTCCAGTGCACAACTTCATGCACCTTGAAAGGAACTGTGGGCCTGAGGTTGTGGTAAGCACAGGGGCAGGTCTCGGCCAATTCTCTGCACCCATGCCTGCCCCCACCTGGCACAGCCCCTGGTCCCCTGTCTGCCAATAGCCCTGCTGCTGCCGCTGCCGATCCCACGCACTGATTGTGCCTGCCCTGCTCGCATCCGCTGAAGGCATGAAGCGATTGGAGCCAGGCCAGCAGCAGGTGTGAGCAGGGCCAGAGCCGTCAATGGATGCGAGTGGCAGCTACTGTCCTGATAGCCCCTCTAGAGCAGAGGGAGGTGGAGAAGTCCTCAGGGGTGATCAGGGCCAACAGCTGCCTCTCACACCAGCTGACGGCGCCAAGAAATTGGGACTGGCGCCGGGCACTGGCAGCAGGTGTGAGTGGTGACTCTGGCATCAGCTGTGGGTTGAGTGGGGCCATCACCAGCAGCAGGCGTGAGAGGTGGCTGCTAGCCCCAATCTTCCCTCAGGAGCAAGGGGAGGTGGACAAGTCCTGAGGGGCAATTGGGGTTGGCAGCTACTGCTTGCACATGCTGATGGAGCCTAGCAATCTGGGCTGGCGCTGGGCACTGGTAGTGGGTGTGAGTGGTGGCTCCAGCACTGGCAGTGGGTGCAAGTGGGGCTGATGCCGCAGCAGGTGCAAGTGCCAGGCAGGACTGCAGTGTGTGGAAGCAAAGAATTTTCAGTAACCACCAGAGACTCGCTCCAATGACAGTGACCGGTGCCCCACCTTGGTCTGGTGCCCCTGCTCACCTGCTCCACCATCCTGCCACAGCTGATGCCTATCATGTTCTGCACACATCAGCTGGTGGTCAGCGCACACCGTAGAGACTGGTTGTTTGGTTATTCGGTTGTTCCACTGTTCAGTCTATTTGCATCTTAGCCTTTTATTATGCAGGACTAGAGGCCCAGTACATGAAATTCTTGCACTTGTGGGGCTCAGCCCGACCTGCACCCTCTCACAATCGGGACCCCTTGGGGGACGTCTGATTGCCAATCGGACAGCCCTCTCACAATACAGGGCCACTGGCTCCTAACCGTTGGCCTGCCTGCCTGATCGCCCCTAACCCCTCTGCCTCTGCCTGATCTCCCCTAACCTCTGCCTGTCTGCCTCATCCACCTAACCACTCGCTTGCCTATGTGACTGCCCCTAAACACTCTGCTGCCTACCTCATCCCCTCTAACCACTTACTTGCCTGCCTGCCTGCCTGCCTGCCTGATCACCCCTAACCACTTGCCTGCCTGCCTCATTGCCCCTAACCACTCGCCTGCCTGCCTGATCACCCCTAACCCCTCTGCGTCTGCCTGATCTCCCCTAACCTCTGCCTGCCTGCCTCATTCCCCTTAACCTAACCACTCGCCTGCCTATATGACTGCCCCTAACCACTCTGCCTGCCTACCTCATCCCCCCTAACCACTCGCTTGCTTGCCTGATCACCCCTGACCACTCTGCCTGCATACCTGATTGCCCCTAACCACTCACCTGCCTGCCTGATTACCCCTAACCCCTCTGCCTCTGCCTGATCTCCCCTAACCTCTGCCTGCCTGCCTCATTCTCCTTAACCACTCGCCTGCCTATATGACTGCCCCTAACCACTCTGCCTGCCTACCTCATCCCCCCTAACCACTCGCTTGCTTGCCTGATCACCCCTGACCACTCTGCCTGCATACCTGATTGCCCCTAACCACTCACCTGCCTGCCTGATTACCCCTAACCCCTCTGCCTCTGCCTGATCTCCCCTAACCTCTGCCTGCCTGCCTCATTCTCCTTAACCACTCGCCTGCCTATATGACTGCCCCTAACCACTCTGCCTGCCTACCTCATCCCCCCTAACCACTCGCTTGCTTACCTGATCACCCTTAACCACTCTGCCTGCCTGATTGCCCCTAACCACTCATCTTCCTGCCTCATTGCCCCTAACCACTCACATGCCTGTCTGATTGCTCCTAACTGCTCACCTGCCTGCCTGATCATCCCTAATTGCCACTGCTTTGGCCCCTGCTGCTGCGGCTTTGTCTGGAAGGACATCTGGAATGATGCCCAGAAGGTCATTTGGTTGTCTGGTTTAATTAGCATATTATGCTTTTATTATTGTAGACTTAAGTTGGCTCAGATTCCCCACCAGCTAGTAAATTCTATAAAACATGCCTTTTACATCTTGTTTACACTTCATTTAAAACAGGCACATAAGAGGAAGCCATGGATTTTCCTCATGAATGTTATCCTGTTTCCCCGAAAATAAGACAGTGTCTTATGTTAATTTTTGCTCCCAAAGATGCGCTAGGTCTTATTTTCAGGGGATGTCTTATTTTTCCATGAAGAAGAATACGATACACATTTATTGTTAAATGAAAATCACCCTTAACCACTCTGCCTGCCTGATTGCCCCTAACCCCTCTGCCTGCCTGCCTGATCACCCCTAACCACTTGCCTGCCTGCCTCATTGCCCCTAACCACTCCCCTGCCTGCCTGATCACCCCTAACCCCTCTGCGTCTGCCTGATCTCCCCTAACCTCTGCCTGCCTGCCTCATTCCCCTTAACCACTCGCCTGCCTATATGACTGCCCCTAACCTCCCTCCTGCCCCGCGCTCACCGCTCACATCACTAACATCGCTCATCGCTCACTCACTAAAGGAAATTTATTACCTGTATACGGTAATAAAACCAGACAAACTGTGAATCCTACAGTATCAATAATTTACTCATTTATTCAATGACAATCATGTCATCATCTTCTAGAACATATCATAATAATCCAATTCCTGAATTTCCTGGTGAAGTTCTTATGACTCCATTTCTTTCAGAATCAGTGGACCAAATCTCTCATGTTTAGCAATAGCACTGTCTTTAAATGAGTACTTCTTGTCAAGGTAGCCTGCTCGTAGTGCATTTGCAATGCAACTGTCAGTGATTTTCTCCTATGAATTCTTCACCCAAGTCACAAGTTCTTGCAGTTTAGGTTTCACAAAGTTTCCACGCTGATTTCTCTCCATTCTATTTTCAGTGTAGTCATTAATTTCCATGCGCAAATTGTCTTTGAATGGCTTGTTTATTGCAATATCAAGAGTCTGGAGATAGGCCGTCATTCCTGTGGGAATCATTATCTGATCTATTTTTCTTTAGTGAAGAAATGTCTTCATGTCTTTAGCACAGTGAGTGCTGGCTGCATCCCAGACTAGCAGACCTCTTTGGCTCCCTTGCATAATAAGCGGCAGCATTAAATCGACCCACTTCATTATAACTGCTTGTGTGGCCAGGCTTTTTCAGTTTCAAGAATAAAAATGCTGAAAACACGTTCAATCTTTTCCTTCTTGCCCTTAGAAATGATTAAAGGTGGGATTTTAGTTCCATCCAGACGAATTGCCAAAATACAAGAAACACGTGCACTTTCATAAGCAGTTGAGGGAATGTACACTAAGGAGGCCCCCCGCTGTTCAATTGTTGTTTGAGATGATTGGCCCATAAACACTGCCGTTTATTTAGAAGTCTCTAAATACAATCTTTCCAACATGATTGCTAAGGTTGAAACTGTAGTGTTTATGGGCCAATCATCTCAAACAACAATTGAACAGTGGGGTGCCTCCTTAGTGTACATTTCCTCCATTGCTTACGAAAGTGCACATGTCATCAATAAAGGACTTGAATGCAAGTGCTCACTTAATAACTTGAGTATCTTCCAACCTAAACAATGTTGTACCGGTAGATCTTCTTAAAGACAGTTCACTTTGCTGAAGGAAATTATCCAGCCAGTGTTGTGATGCTTTGAAGTCTTTGGGGGTTATGTCAAACTGTGGTGCCATTGCAAGGGCAAATTCTTGAATCTGAGCCCTATTCACAACCAAAGCCTTTGCTCTCCTGTCAACAACCCATTCACAGATCAGGTCTTCCAGCTCGGAAATTAATGGTTGCCGACCTGATGCACATTTGTGCTTTTTAGCATTTCCCTTGTCCACTTGTTCAATGAGGTTACCATACTCTGCTTGCCATTTTCGGACCAATCGGATACTCAACATCTTCTCTTTGCAGAAAGCAGTAAGACTTTAGCCCCAAGAGTCTTCCACGATTCCTTTCTTGTACTCCACTTTCTTTTTGCACTTTTTCTTTTTGTGCTCATTTCTAGGGGTAAAAAAAAAGGAATTGGGCTATCAAGGTGGGGGAAGGGGGATCACTTAAAATGACACAAGAGGGATCAGAGGGGGGAATCAAAATGGCACAGGAGAATCAGGGGGGGATTACCATTTTAGTAACCCCTTTTGATCCTTCTGTATTTTGATTGCCCCCTCTGATCCTCCTGTGTCATTTAAAGTGATTCCCCTCCCCCCACCCCTGTGCCACTGAACACCTTCACCAGACATCCCCCCTACCCCTTTATTAGACATTTACCCCCTGGGGCCTGCCTGGGGACTGTCACTGGGCTTGCTGGGGCCTGGATCTGGGCTGGAGCAGGGTCTGCCACTGACTGAGAACCTTCAGTCATCATGAGGGCGGCTGCGAGCATCAGGTAGTGTCACCAGAGACAGACCAGCACTCACCACCTTCGCTGCGTCCTGTCCCACTCTAATCCATCCTCCTGTTCTACACGCATCTGCGAAAGTCTCCTCTCTCCCTCCCGCCCCGCGCTCACCGCTCACTCCGACCTCTGCTTTGCCTCCACACAGCAGTGACATCAGGGCTCCGCGTAAAGTCACTGGTTGCTAGACGCCAGTCAGGGAGGCCCTAGTGACCAGTTTACGGTAAATTAATTTTCATTCTGAGACAGAGCCTAGGGGGGGCCTTTTTTTCAGGGGGATGCCTTATATTTCACTCAGAAGGAAATCTGTAAGTAGGTCTTATTTTCGGAGGATGTTTTATTTTCGGGGAAACACAGTATTAAACATCGCTCATCACTAACAGAACAGGCTGAGAGTTCTCCAACAGATTCTTTCCATACCAGCAGTTTTCAAAGTACACACAGTGGCCTAGGATAATAATCTGAACCCTTAAGAAATGCTGGTAAATGATATAAAATAGAATCCGTGCAGGCATGTGTGACACCTGTGTTGATTGTATGGCCTTTCCAGAACCGGATGTAAATTGACTAGGCCTGCTTGCCGGGGAGCTGTGGGGCCTGCCTTTGGCCCCTGGCCCTGGCCAGAATCCGCTGGCCAGGGTGGTTCTGTGGGGAGGAGCAGGCAGGCAGTGTCTGTCCAGGTACTGGGTACTAAGCATCGCAGTTTTGTTTCTCACAGCAGCATGGAAGCCGGCCAGTCTTGGAATAAGGTGCCACGTTGGAAGAATTCTTCAGGGGAAAGGCAGAGCGAGTCCGGAAGCCACTCTGCTCCTTCCAGGCCAAAGGGAAGCCTCCCTCGCCTCTCCCCTCTGGCTGGGGAGGAGCTTGGTGGATGCATTTCCCCAGAAGGTAAAGCTCAAAGGAGTCCACTGGGGGCCGGCTATCGGGGAGCCGCGGGGAACAAGCTGCTGCTGGACTTCCAGTCGCTGAGGCTCATGAAAGAGGACTCCGAGGAGGACAGCGCCAGCGACCTCTCGGACTCGGAGCGGGTCCCCGTCCCCCCCTCCCCGCGCTCACCTCCAGACCTGCATCTGCGTGCAGAGGAAATTGACCCGGTCTACTTCGACCTTGACCTTCAACCAGGCCAGGGCCACGCCAGGCCGGAATACTACTACCCCGACTTCCTCCCGTCACCTTGCAACTCCTGGGACTTGCGGGACATGGCTGTGCTCGCCAACACGGAGCACAGGCCGGTCCCTGGGTCCCGAGCAGGAGGGCTTCTGGGGAAGTACGTGCAGCGGCTGGTGCAGCTCGAGTGGCTGCAGATCCTGACTGTCCAGGGCGAGAGAGCAAGGGCAGCCAAAGTCCGGCTGTCCCCCACCCCCGGGCCCGCGGGGCCTCTGAAGAGCCCGGGGAGAAGCAAGCCCCTGGGCAGCGCTGGGTCCAGGCCCCACCAGGATGGCGCCCCCAGGTCGGGCTCTTCTCGGAAGAAAGGTGCTCCCCGTGAGGGCCACCCGACCTACTGCTGGTTGGAGACATCCGCTAAGTCCCCGGATGTGCCTGTGCCGGGCCCCAGCAGGGTGTGCCCTCAGAAGCATGCCCTGGGCGCTCGGGCAGAGGAGAGGAGGAGTGGCAGGAGCCCGCGGCCGCGCTCGGACCTGGCCAGCAGCGACAGCAGCCGCCGGCTGGAAAGCAGCAGTAACCTCCGCGGCCCGGCGCCCCCCGGGAGCCTGGACGCAGCAGACCTCCCCAAGGCCTCCAGAACACAAGCACACGCAAATCCGAGGAAAAAGGGAAGCACAGATAACTGTGGTCAGGCCTCCCTGGCCGGTGAGAAAAAACTCAAAACAAATGGAGGAAAGCAGAACCCACACAAATTCAAATAACATCCAAGAGGGTGAACTGCGAAGACCCGCAGAACCCTGAGTATGGAGGCCCCCGAGAGTGACAGGATGTGAATGTCAAGAAACAGTATGACTGCCACTTCGGGGCGCCTGGTTCTTCAGTACCCCTACCCGTGTGCTCCTACCAAAGGCGTCTTGGGAAGCCTTCCTTCATGTCGATAATCTTAAGCAAATGATAGCCATTGGATAGAACGACCCAGGTCTGTGCCATGACAAGGAGCGAAGTGACACCTCCCCGGGGAGAGGTAACGGAGCCGGTGAGCTGCTGAGGAGAGCAGAGCCAGATGTTGAGCTGCACTTGCCCTTCATGAGAACAGTGCCCGCAGTCTAACACTGCCCGGCAGCAGTGTCCTAGGTGGTCAGTGCCAGACGCCAGTGTCTGAGATGGTCAGGGCGCTCTCTTTTGTCCCCAGCATGAGCTCGCCAAGCAGAAGCTCGGTCCAACTCAGTCATTTGAGGAGCATGGATTTTGAGCAAAATCATTTATTACAAAGCCACCTGCTATACAGAGACCACAGAATCTAGTGTTTTCATACATTTTCCTGGACATTAGTTTTAAAAAAGCAACATCTTAAATTTGTGTTCTCTAAGGTGGGTGGGAGGTCTGTGGGTGAGCGTGACATGCTGTCTGGAGAGCCAGCATGGGCTACGTGGCACCCCAACCCTGAAGAGGCGCCACGGGGTAAGAGTTTGTGGACGAAGGGCCTATGAGCTGGAAACGCATGGAACTACTTGGAGTGTAACAGCTATTACAGTACTAATTTGGGGCCCAGATCCTGCTGTCTCACCTCAAAGTAATGATCTTTTTAGTTCACAAGAGCAGGATTTCAGAACCTTGCTCAGGTGGGGGCAGAGTGGGCAGTGGGTGAGGGTGGAGGTCCTGCATGACCTCCTGGCAACCTTGCTGGCCCCGTGGCTGCTGACTCCTGAGGCTTCTTGCTTCACTGCAGTTCCGCCTCATCCATGTGTCCCTGGACTGTGCCGTGAGGTCCTGCTGATATTTGTGGGAATAGCTCTCAAACCTTTGTTTGACTACTTTTTGCTGTACAGTATGTTTTCAAATTTACCTTTAAAATTTTTTATTGTTGACACTATTACAGATGTCCCCATTCCCCTCATCCTTTGCCCATTTCTGCCCTGCCCCCTCCCCCTTTCCTCTGGCCATCACCACGCTGTTGTCTGTGTCTATGAGTTATGCGTACGTGTTCTGAGGCTAAGCTCTTCACATTCTCTCATCCAGTTCCCCTCCTCCCCTCCAACAGCTATAAGTCTGTTCATGTATCCATGCCTCTGTTTCTATTTTGTTTGTCAATTTATCTTGCTCATTAGATCCCACATAGGAGTGAGATCATATAGTATTTGTCTTTCTCTGACTGGTTTATTTCACTTTAGTCTATTACTGTGCATGTATGTTTAATGATGGTAGCTGATTTTAACCCTTTAAAAGAATATTCTGTTTACATGTTTCTATGTTTTCACCTTTGGGGCTGATGAAAAATGTGGCTCTCTCATTTGAAAATATCTAATAGTTTGCAGACTTTTCCCTCAGCAGTCAATGTCAGCTAAGGTGTTTTCTAAGTTAACAGCATAAGGACAAAATACACATAATTAAAATAAGAGGCAAATGTTAAATATTAAGATCCTGTTTTAAATCTGATTTGTCATACTAAACAGGTAAAATTTTTATGATAGGTTTTTTTCTTCCCAGACTATATTTTCACATATTTCCAGATCCTCTCTTATATTCTTTACCTCCCCCCTCCACCCCGAGAAAGGCAAGCTCTTACCTGAGACCTTACACCGTTTTACACAGACATGCCGTACGCATTACTTCCCCAGTCACTAGCGTCCTTTTGTCCCAGGCTAAGTGCTATGTTTGAAAGCTTAGAGACTCTTCCTTTCTTCCTGGGCTTCCCGAGTGTACCCCCCGCCCCGCTGGCTGCCCTGCTCCTGTGAGCACGGTAGATAGGGGTCCTTTAAACAGGCCAGCAGGCCCTCATGCTTCCTTCTCTGCCAGGTTTTTACCCAGCTCTTTAAGAGATTCCGGCCAATAAATCTTCGTAAGCCCGTGACACACATATGTGTGCTCCTGATGCTAACACGGAAGGGTTCACGCAGAGCGGAGGCCTAGCCTGGCATGGTGTCCATCCAAGTGGGTGTCTCGGGCACCTGCAGGGGGAGGCCAACCTGCTTCACTTTGCTGGCGCCTGCGGTCTGAGCGGAGGTCCTTCACACTTAAGAAACTTAGAGGTAACGTTGCGGATATTACATGTGTTCTGTGAATTGAAGGTGGTTACTTAATTTGGGGAGCAGTCATGATGTCACATGACAGGGCAGTTTTAAAAGACTGAAAAAGTGGGTTGTCTTCCTTCCCCTTTTGCCTCAGGCTGATGGTTTATTTTAATCATTATTGATGCCATGGGGTCAGAGCTCCTAATGACTATGCAGGTGATTAGCGAACGTGAGCACACTTCTGGTTTTATAATTTTTTAAAAATATCTATTTAATGATTTTTAGAGAGAGAGGAAGGGAGAAGGATAGAGAGATGGAAATATCAACGCAAGAGAAGCATCGGCCGGCTGCCTTCTGTGTGCCACTCACTGGGAATGGAACCCACAACCTGGGTACGTCCCCGGATTGGGAATTGAACCAGCAACCTCCTGGCCCGGGCGTCATTGCTCACCCACTAAGCCACACCAGCTGGTTTTATGATTTCTGACCATAGATCTAACACGTCCGAATGCACCAAATGCCACAGATGAATGTCCTGCCGTGGTCTTCAAGCGGGTAACGTGGGAAAGTGGAAGTGTGAGCTCCTTCAGTTCAAGTCTAAGCCACTGAGTTTCCTAGTGAATAGTCATGTGTTTCTAAGAAGTGCCTCTCATATCTGGGGAGTTGTTTACATACAAGTTGCATTTAGACAAATTAAAACAACCCAAAGGGAAACAAAGTAACCAAAAAGTTGAGAGAGTGTAAGAAGAATGAGTTAGGCTTAGATCAGGCAGTGGGGAAAGTTTTAAAAACATAAAAATGATCTACAAAAATATACCAGTATTATCTATAATTGTTTACATTTAGATGGTTTCTCAAAACTTTACTGACTAAATTGGCTGAAGGTTGAGTCGGTTAAGTTTGGGTGGCATTGGGGGCTAAAGACAAAGAGATGGGGAGAGGCTACTGTGGGCCTTGTGACAGCTAACAGCTACAGGAAGACGTTCGGAGTGGTCCCAGGCCTTTTCCTTTCCAAAAAGACGTAAGGAAAACATTCAGCGTGTTTGCTATTAGGATCACTATTGTGTACTTGCTTTTGCACGCAATAAAACAGATACTCTGTGTCTCTGTGAATCTGCATTTTTCCTTCCCCCAAGATCAGTGGACAGTAGAAAAACCCTGTCTGGACTCTTCTGAGATGGTTTGCTTTGCTCTCAATGCGGCTTTCCTGCGGGTCTTCCTCCTCTCTCCTGGGCTACATCAAAGAGCTGCTGAGGAGAGGCTGGCCCAGCTCCCTTCTAACATGAAGCAGCATCCACAGCGGCAGGGCAGGCTGTGCATTTCAATGAGATAGAAACATCGGTCAGCTGCCTCCTGCACGTCCCTTCCTGGGGATCGAGCCCACAACCCGGGCATGTGTCCTGACCAGGAATGAGCCGTGACCTCCTGGTTCATGGGTTGACACTCAAACTGGAAGCCAGGCGGGGGTTGGGGGTGGGGTGGGCAGTTTTGAGCAGCTACCACACTAGTTCTTGTGAGGGGCCCTTTGCTCCTCTTCTCAGCTCACCTCTGACAATGAGATGTATGCCTCTGAGTCTACCAGTTAGTGGCTGCTCATAGCTTTGGGGGCATTAAACAAAATTCAATCGATCAATTTTTAAGAACCTTATTGGCTTCATTCAATGATTCATGAATTGGGTAGCATCCCTTCTGGCAGATGGAAGGGAGCTCCGAGGAGCTGTGTGGAAGGAAAGGCTTGTAGGCAGGAGGGGTGGGAACAGGATTACACTGTGCAGCTCCATGGTTGGTGGTTGCCAGCTCACCCACAGGGGTCTGTCGGACAGATGACCTGCCTGTGCTGATCAGGAGACTCCTGATTGGCTGGTTAAAAAATGCCACTTCTAAGCAGCAGCAGCCAGGCGGGGAGTGGCAGTGGCCAGACCCGGAGCAGCTGGTTGTGGAGTGGACCAGAGCAATAGAGGCCAAGCTTGGAGCAGCCAGGCCCGGAACAGCTCGCTCCTCGCCTGCTCCCGCCCCAAGGCTGCCTCTCAGACATGGCTGGAAACTTTTGGGGGAACTTGAGGGTCTGCTGAATCAAATGATGAAGGCTTAGATCTGGATGTGTTGAGTTAGTATAGCACTAGGTTGTTGATCTGTGAGTGCCTTGTGTGGGGTCTGGATGAGGTTGGTTGATCTATTTGGAAATATCTTTTGTGTGAAGTGTATCCTTGGGCATGTGGAGGTATTATTGATTTGAGAAAATGCTAAGTAACTGATTTACTATCTGAAAAATTTAAAGTTCTGAAAGTTTAAGGTCTCTTGCCAAAAAGGTTTTAAAGCTAACACCTTAATTTTAATGGAGAAAGGGGAGGACAAGCCCTTCCCACCCAGAACTGGTAATCCAATTCCAACCAGCAAATATTTTTAAACAATGTGTTAATTTACATTTGAATGGCTACACCTTTTGATAGCCTAAGGCAAGTTTACATGTAAACAAGTTTGCTTCTCAATTCCCAGGGCAGAAAAAACAAGGTTTAAAATTATTAGATTTTAAAATTTATTCTTAGAAGTGTAAAAGTTTATTAATTAAAAAACAACAACAACAACAACAAAAGGAGATTGAAAAACCTGATGAACAATATTAGCTGTTGATTGTAGTAGAGTCAGCGATATGGGAGGGGAGTGGACTGACAGTTCTGGGGAAAGGGGGAGTGGTGGATGCCTGAAGAGACTGAACATAAACTGTGCACCTATGGATGAGGACAATGGGG